TATATTATAAACAAAGAGGCACCGGATCCGAATTTGCCGATTTACTAGTTTAGCCCTGCTTCTCTCTTTTTAACGGTCTCCTATAATGGTATGAAACGACAGGTGTTTTCGCAGTGATTTCATTATTATCTAAACTTTCCAATACGGATGTGTCTTAAACACAAATCTGTTGATGTATGCGTTGAAGCTGACTCTATAAATTTTGTTCCAGATGAAAATACAACAAGAATAAAAAAACAATTCTGCAACTCTCTTATTTTTATAAAAGAAATATTCGTGTTTCAGTACTTACGGTGCTGTACAACAGATGAGGGAAAATTCCAGCTAAAAATCGAAAGAATTTATGTTGGAACTGACAGAGGCGATTGGTGTGAATAACTCAATAGATTGGAGCGCAGAAAGAGCCATATTTAATTGGATTATAACAGTTTTTCAGTATTTAGAAAAAACCATAGAAGGGCTTGTGGGGGGAATCAAAAAAATTTCTTGTGGAATAAAAGACTTATTGACGGCTTTGATGTTTAAACCACGTTTGAATGTTGGTCCACTTCTTCGAGTTGTTTCTAAATAAATTCATGGCATAAAAGGAAAAAGTCATTTATTGCAATCTTGTGGTTTTATTGTTATTTACAATAAGTGCAACTCGTAGTGTTAGGAATTCTAATTCCTCTAGATGGACAAGGTTGAAGTTATCAACTCCACTAAAAATGTCATAATCCAGAACAACGTCAAAGATTTAACTGCATTCACTTCAACAAGATCATCTGCACAAATATCGTGAGATTAGTGGTCGGCAGTAATACACGCAGACATGCTACCACCTTGGAGATAACCGATGCCATAAGGCAAGCGGAGTTTCTGGATGTTCTATCACCTCTTTCCAATGACGGGCGCCGGTTTCTCCTCCTAATGGGCCTATTATTGCATGACCAATTTCGTCGTTGCTTGACAAAAGATCGTAGTCCATCACCTAAAGGGTAGGATTAGCCTTAAATATGTAATTTTGAGTTTGATCAAATTCATACCGTAACGACGAGATTAACATCCTTGTCGAGAACCTCCTTGGGTGGCACAGTAAAAGCAAATGATTCATTAAACAATGGAGCCAGTGTTTGTGGTTTTACCGTAGTCTTACGCTTCTCAAGCTTGTTTCCTTGTTGTACCAGCCATAGTTTTACGTATGGATCTGCAAAATACGATTGAGAGAAGTACCAATATCTAGTTTTATGTGTATTTACTTCGTTCTTAACATTTTTGTCATTTTTTTGCCACTACATTTGTAAAAGAGCATTTATTATTCAAGAAGTTATGCCCAGCCACACCACGAGAAAGCAGCTGTACGCGCAGTCCTCTTTTTAAACTTTACTGCTATAACTTAACGCCATACGTAACTTTACGTCATACTGTGAGTACTGTGGTTGTCGGCTCACAATTCTGGCTACAAAATCTAACAAATTTTAAAAAATTTTTAGAAATGAACAAGTAGTCTTTAAAAGAATAAATATTAGGTTGCTTCATGTGACAGTCTACATTTGTGCTATAAAAAACAGAGCATTGATTTTTCAAAGAATTAGGGCATTCGATATGAAAGCACTATATTCTTAAAAGACACTCGTTAAGCGTTTGACGTGAGGAGCAACGATAAATGTATAATAATAATAATAATGGATTGAATAGATTATTTACAATTTGGGATATATTTGCAATATTCGGGATCCTTAAATGTGAACAATGCTACCATATGTGCTACCCATAATTTTTTGTAATGTAACCTTTATATATAATAGATTGGAGGTATGCTAGGAATAGCCAATAAAGGAAGGGCATTCTTAAGAAGGTGAAAGCACCGAAACGTTGACGTAACCCAATAAAAACTAGTAACAATCTTCGTCAACGGTCCAACAATACAGCTTAAGGCAAATGCCAAGCTTCTAAAACAGCCAGACATGGACAACTTAGGACGATAGCTATGGTCAATTATGAGAACTCTAGCGACACAAGAATCCGAAGAGAATTACAATCACAGCGTTACAGGTGAATTTTTTGTTGTAAAGTATAAATTGAAACAGAGAAATTGAGATTGATAGGAAACATTTTTTGTGTTTGGACACAGGTAAGAAAGTCTTACCAGAGCTTCCCATTTTGTCCTTAGCAGCTAAATCTCGTGCTTTGATTACACTTACGGTGATTTTGTTCACTTCTGGGAGATAACACAATGAAAGCATCAACTCTCCACATTTCTCCTAAAAGTAGAGTATTTAATAGCGCTTCTATACATGTACAAGTTATCTTACCCTAGAAATTGTCGGTCTTTGTAGATGCTTCCAATATACGGGGCTATTGTCAAATTTCACTGTTTTCATTGGAAGGAGAATTTCACCAATCGGGTCATCGGAGGAGAATCGATCATAATCCATCACCTGGAATAAGAACATGTAGAAGAATATAGTTTTGACACTGTAATTGCGCTATGAAAATTTTTAGCTTACCTGCATCACAAGAGTCATATCGTGAAGCTTTTTCATCGAGTGTCCTAAACATGTAATCTTGAATAG